GCTCAGAAGGCTATTCATGGGGCTGTGTGGAACACAGACCTGCTCCTCTCTCCCAGCTCAGCCCTCATCATCAGACAGCCCAAATTGCTTCTCCATCTTTTCATTTACTGAGCTTCAGGAGCTTCAGCATACCCATCCCCTAAGCATTCACCACCATGAGCTCCTCATTCCCAGCAGCTCATTTCCCTCGACCCCGGGCTGAAGTAAACCCCTTACCTCTGGTACAACTTTGCAGACGAATTCTGAGCCCAGGCAACTTTTTTTTGCAGAACTCCAGAGCTGCCGTAGCACTCTGTGCCACTGCCTCAGTCCATCCCCCCGTGGGGAAGCCCTGGGACAGGCAGTGGGGCCCAGTGCCGGGTGGGAGGCGAGGGCCGGAGACAGGCCCCATCAAAGGCAGGAGGCCTGCTGGGGATCAGAAAGCGAGATACGCATCTAAATAATTCAGGCACTAATAAAAGCTCTGGGCCAGGCTCTGCAAGCTGGGAGAGAAGGCTGAATTTTGGTGTCTTTTGAGCCGCAGAAATGCCGTGTTACTCAATAACCCGATACTGATAAACCAATATTATTTTAAGAGTACCCCACAAAGTTAATGAGGAAAGTGGCTGTGCCCAGTTTCATTGTTTTATAGGCTTAGCTTTAGGCTGAAATTCTAACGAAGGAAGATTTTGAGAACTTCAAGTCTGACCTCTACAGGTAGAATAGGTACAGTAGCATTGATCTCAAAATGAACATCGTATTTTGAGGGACTGGAGAAAGGACCAGATGTAATAGAAAACCCCAGGCTATCATCATTACATCACTAAAGTCTTATTTTTAAAACATTGCATTATCTGTGGTAATTTAGTTCATCCACATGCATTCTTGCAAAATGCATCCACTCTGCAGCAAAACCAGAAGGACGTCCAGCATGAATATACTTACATTCCGAAGCGTTACAAGGTTTTGCTTCTGCTTTTTATTATTCCTCCCCCTCTCAAATCTTCCACATGATCTGCTCCTTCAGCGCGACTTTGAAACAAATGCTACTTTGAAACTGATAACATACATTTGTGTTTTGCAAAACTGATGTTTTTAAATGCCCCAACTGGTGCCACCTTTTTCTAATCAGAACCAACCACTCTAACAAACTGCCCTTTGTCCGGTGATCCCATCCCCTCTGTTCCCACCAACCTACAGCACATGTTGCCATAGCTACACCGCACGTCTATTTACCACACAAGTGATCAAAGGAGGCAGACAACACACACACACACCAAATCCTCACCAGGCTTCCTACGGAGCAATGCCCCGCCACTAATTAACTGATACACTCTCTGCCTGTGGACTCTGTACACTTGTTTTCTTTATTCTGCACGGTACACACACAAAACAACAAGAAAACAGCATTCTCTGAGATGCTCATTCTTCCTTTACAGACCAAACAAACAACAAAATGTCCCAGGAGGAACTTTAAAGAGAGTTTCCTAAAGCAACACTAAGGATTAGAGCACCCCAGGATAAGAAAACAGCTTTTTCACTGAGGAACACATTAAGAATTCTAAAAGGTATGCAAAAGAAAATAGGAAATAAGAAACACATGCTAAGAACTTAAACATCTGTAAGCAAAGGGGATGTTTCTGTGTTTTGCATGTGTTATTCACTGAAACTGTATGCAGCATTTACTCATTTGGTGAATTGCATACACACTATAAGCTATATGACTGCAGTCATGATAACTAACTGTAATGGCCTTATGTGTCTTAGAAACAGTTTTTCATTTTTAGGTGGCCTGTCAGTTAACAGTCATTTTGTTAAACCTCTTTTGTGATGGAGGCCTCAACTCTGCCTTGATCAAAGTCAATAGAACTTCAATAGGAAGAGGCCAAGGCAAGGAGTTGCATTTGTCATCAGGACACTCCCATAAGCTGCTCTTCAGGGATTTGCTGTGGGTGAAGGTAAGTGAAAATGATGTATTAAAATTCAAACATTTGTTTTTCCATGAAGTGAGCTTAGGGAACTTAAAACAGAGCTCACAGTGCCCTCTCCAGTTCTGCAGCAAACTAAGGGAATCCAATCAGCAACAGCCTCCAGCCACAAAAAGCCACCTTCCAGCACACAAAGACTGAGCACCTTCTCAGAAGTCTCCATCATTTGCACATTGCCTTGCTTAGGCACATCTTTACTGAAGCCTCTATGCAACATCATTATCTTTATTGTTATTTTTATTATTATTATTTTATTATTATTCACTACTAGATAGCAGGACAAGGGGAAATGGTTTTAAGTTGAGGAAGGGAAGATTTAGGTTGGATATCAGGGGGGAAGTTCTTTACAGAGAGAGTGGTGAGGTGCTGGAACAGGCTGCCCATAGAGGCTGTGGATACACCGTCCCTGGAGGTGTTCAAGGCCAGGTTGGATGGGGCCCTGGACAACCTGGTCTAATATTAAATGGGAAGGTTGGTGGTGACCCTGCCTGTGGCAGGAAGATTGGAGATTCATGATCCTTGAGGTCTCTTCCAACCATGGCCAGTGATTCTGTGATTATTTCTATCAGGCAGCGAGGAAACAGCTCTTGCTGTCATTTTTTAGCTGATTATTGAAAACCTCAGCTTTTTTATACCTGTATACCTTACAAACCTCAACACAGCATCCTATGGCAACCCCTGTTACCTGCTAGGAACCAACGCTTGGTGCAGCGGTAAAGTTGGTTGAACCTTACCTGCTCAACAAGCTGCATATTATTACATTTCTACAGTAACTCCTGTACCCCTTTTGAGGAGATGAGTGCATTTGTATCAGATATGCTGTTGTTCAGTATCTACCTGCTGCCTTTGGGCCAATTCAGTCACCAGCACAATATACAGTTCTATTCCAGAGCAAGCAACATGCCATCTGCCTGACAGTTAACTCTTCATCCCCAAGTTAAACTGTAGCTGCCACCAAGATCATCTCCAGGTCGGAGTCGCTGGTCTCTGAACCCAGTATAAGAGCAGGGAGTCAAGTCCCCTTCCACTCTTGCACCATCTGGTGTAAAGCCAGAGATGGAAGCACTTGGGGAGGGCAGGAAGGCAACGGGACAGAGACGGAGAGAGGACACCGTGTAGGAGGGCAGTACATGGGCCAACAGGAAAGCCATGTGCACATTCCTCTTTCCCATAAGAATGGGAAACTACAAACAGGAGCATGGGCTCCAAGTGCACGTGAGACTCATTCTCCCAAGTAGCCGCCGTAACGATTTCCCTAACAGCCCCCCACAGTCCATGGCTCGCCCCAGCCCTCAGCTCCCACCCGAACAAACAGCCACCCCCCGACCACCAGCCCCTCCAACACACCCAGCATTCCCCTGCCAAACCGAAAATAGCTGCGCACAAGACAACAACCAGACCCGGGGAAATACTTTTAAATTGTTCCCTTGGCTCGGGGTGCGAAACCGCACTCGGGGGCAGGTGTTTCAACAAGCTTTGGCAGCCCTTCAGCTGGCCCTGCCTCCCCAGGAGCAGCAGCAGCAGCAGCTGGGACGGGCGGCGGGCACCCGGGGCGTGCCGGGCCATGCAGGAGCCGGCGCTGTGCCTGTGCCTGCACTGCTCCTCAGGCGGAACGCCTCCCCCCTCCCACACCTCGTCCCTCTGAGCGGGAGGCAGGGTACCCAGGCTCCGTAATACCATTCTCCTTTCTGTTTTACACGAAGCTCAGTAAGACATAAAACCAAACGCTTCAGGTGAGCGAAGCGCGCATTTCCCAGAGCGTTTTACTTTTTTTTTTTTTTCTCTTTACTGTCAGGCTGCAACTGCTTCTTTCTCTATTCCCCATTGGCAACCCCCTGTGCCAAAGTACCCTCTTGCGGTGATAATGGCTTCTGATGACTGCGTGCATCCGACTGACCAACCTGAGGTACGCGGTATACAAAACGCCCTTCATTTGGCTTCGCAAGGACAAGAATTTCCTTCCCTCTTAAAAACAACAGGAGTATTTTATTGTCTGGTGGGAGAAGGAAATACCATTCCCCCTCCCTTACCTGCATTCTCTCCTTCTGTCTTCACAACCTCTCTCCACTCAGAGGAGAGCAGGGTGAGGAAGCTGAGATTTCCCACCACACTTTCAGAAAGCAAACACAAAACAAACGCTCCATTTGCACTACAGGTGCAAAATCTGCACACGCACTCCCAGCGCATACAGTCTAAAAGTCCCACTGAGAGCTGAATGAATAACACCCATACAGAAGAGTACCTTCTCTCGTTTCCTCGCATTTACCCATTGGCTACCTAGAAAATAACATACGAAGTGCAAAATTCGGAAGCAGACTGGCAGGGCTTTGTGAAGTAGGACAGATCTCTGATTCAGCCTTTAAACCTGGCCCCACCAGCTTGCCTGGCTCCCACAGGCTCCTCTAACAGCTTGTTGTTGTTGCAAAACTAGGAACAGTGAGAATCAAAACCATCTCGCCACTGTTCTTTTTAACTAGGGGAAAGAGAATAAAAGCTCCTTTTGTCCCTTCAGGTGAATAGAAAAAGAAGCCTCATTTGAATAATCTTGGGAAAAAAATTCACTAGAAAACCCATCTTAAAGTACTTTTGTGAGGCTGTAAGACAGCTTGAAACTACCACGTTTTAAAGCAATCAGAAGATTAAAGCACTGGCAGGCAAGGAGCTCACGCAGAGCAGTTTAATAAATTATCCCTGGGCTGAATTATTGGCGTGTTTAGCCCTATAACACAGCGAGCCCTTTCCTTTTCCATGTCACGGAGACAAGCCCACACAATGCATGCAAGCCACAGCAAGCGGGAATTGATTTACGGATCTCACAAACGCCGTTCGCCCCCTGAACAGGCGCACAGCGACCCGCACGGCAAGGAAAATTTGAAAATCGAAATAAATAAATCTCTTATGCTTCCCTTTCCTCCGAAACTTACTTTATAAGAGGATAAGGGGAAAAAAAAGAAAAAGAAAGAAAGAAAAGAAGCCTCGATGCCGCCCAGCGTAGAGCGCGACGCTCCCCCCGCCCGGAGCTGCGCTCCTCACCTGCCTCATGGTGAGCTTCCCATCATCCATCCAGCCGGGAAGGGGCTACGCCGCGCCGCCGGCTGCAGGGCAGGGATCCATCAAGTTTCCCGCTGTACGCAAGTTTTTCTCCCTCGTTTTGGCTGTTTTTACTTTTTTTTTTTTTCCTCTTTTTTTTTTTTTTTTTTTTCTTTCCCCCTCTCTCTTCTTTTATCCTTTGCTGGGGGGGGGAGGGAACCCTTCCTAAGACAATGTCAAGTTTCCCAGCCTTCCTTCCCAGCCTATTAAAAGTCAGGAGCGGGGAGGCAACTGTCCGCCTGGCTCCTATTTCAAACCGCAGCGCAGGGATGTAGCAGTTGGCTGAATCAGGCCGTGCCATCGCCTCGCCAATCAGGAGAGAGGGGAGGGAGGGAGGAGAGCGCATAAAGGCTGCCGACATGAGGATTAGGAAAGCTTTCAAGGATTTGAAAGACTGAAAGCAGCTGGAAACAGTGTCTAGAGCTACAAAGAGGGAAGTCAATTTGCGGTGTGAGAGCTTATTCTCTTATAACTGCTCCGCGTCTGCTTAAAGAGCTCCCAGGACTTAAGCAAGAACGTGGAGATGTCCATAGAAACTCCCCAAGTCCCACAGCTAGGCAGAACGCGCAGCAGCAGCCCCGCAAAGTGGCAGTGTTTCATGCTAGCAACAGCCATGGGTGTTCCAAATGCACCTATTTCCTCATGTCAGGTTAAAAAAGAAATTGTGTCATAATGAAAGCAGAAAGTTAGGAAAATGCCGTATGCCACTTGCATGAAGAGCAAGCGCTGGTCTGCTGTGAGATTTTGTCTTGGTGGCAAATACTCAATCACCTCTGCCTGCTTTCCCTTCCTTAGGGTGATTTCCTGATTTCTGAAACTTTGCTCCTCGTGCAACAAAATACTGAAGCCTGACTGCAACTTCAAAGGAAATGGAAGGAAACGGATACATATTTCTGATTTTGATGAGATCAGCTTTTATCTGCTGCCCCTCAGTGGCTTCCATTAAAATAAACAAACAAAAAGGCTACATACATATATATATATATATGTCCCCCAAATCTGTAATGCCATTGCAATTTGAGTTACGCCTTTCTTGAGTCAAAAGCAAACAAGCAGAAAAGCAGAGAAACAGAATACTGCAAACTCACAAATTCATACCACCCACTCTTTTCCAATTTCTTTTCTCCTCGCTTTATATCAGTTCAGAAAGCCATTAGTCTCTCTGTTTCTCTAAAGGGAAAGCTGTCTTTTGATCTCAAGGGGACAATCAGGCAGATCTGATGTCTGAAGAAAAGCCCCAACATCATGGATTTGCTTCTGTAAGGGTTTTATCTACCACGGCAAAAAGCAGTCATTCTGCAGAAGAATTCCTATCAGTACAAGAAATCTTATTGAACTGAGCTGCAGGAAAAAAGTGAAATAATAAGTTGTTAGAGTGATGTGCTGCCAGGATTTTAATTAAAGGCTTCTTAAAATATATTTCTCTTTAGCTTATAAAAGCTAAAAGTGATAGATAAGCTCCAGTGCTGGGTATGTCACAGGAAAAGCAAGGTCTGAAAAATATGCTCGTTTGCTTTCCCATTGAAAAACAATAATTTTTCTCCTAAGTGCCACCAAGAGGGGAGTTTGCATAATGATGAGAAGCAAGGAGGGTTGGAGGGAAAGGCTGATGTGAAGCACTTCATCCAGGTAGGTGTCATCAGGTAGGTGTCCTAAAGTGGGAGGATCTCATTATGCTTCACTTGCAACACAAACCAAGTGTCTGGATGGCTATTCACAACACCCTGCACAGGGTAAAACCAAAGCACAGACAACTCATTGATCCTCCAGTGATGGTCTTGTCAGGCATGCTTGCACAATGGCTCCAAGCAGCTGCAATGCAAGAGTGGGGTGCATTAAGAGCACTTAACAGGAATGCTTCTCCTCTGATGTCCAAACACAGCAGAGTGGACACGTGTCACTTGAACTGAGTACCTGGTATGCGAAAACCTTTTACAAGTGATTAAATCCAGGAGAATCCCCTCCAAGATGCATTCAAAAGGAGGGTAATAATGCTTTTCTGAAGTAATTGGTGCCATAGAGAGAAACTCTGTCGATGATAGTGATTTAGATGAAGGTGCAGAATTTAAAAATCCGCAAGGAATATGAAACAAAGAATACAAAAGGGTGAACATCTGAACTGGTTTTGAAGGTACTCAATCTCCAGAGACACAGTGGTACAGCTAGATGGGAGGAACAAGATTTTGGATGCCAGTTTGGAGGCAAGACCGGTGCCAGTTTTTAAACATTCCTCAAGATATTTGTTTTCACATCTGTCACCCAAGTGTATTCATGTGTGTGAGAAAGTCATACCATCTTCAGGGGAGGGAAAAAAGATGCTGGCCCCGAAGGAAGAAACTTTTACAGTCTGTCCAGTGGGATCTTGTGGAAGAAAGGCAGCCAGAGAAGGTGGTACCAGGTGTAAGATCAGGCACTGCCAAGAGCAAACACCTGCATCACTGAGAGCAAAGTCATGGCTGGGAGCCCAACAGCCTTAGAGGATTCTCATGGATGTATGTTAAAAGACAAATGGTTACAAGGACAAAGGGCAGAATGAGGATTAGCTCAGTGGTAATCAATATAGTGAACAAGTCTGAAGGTTGAAAATTGTGACAAGGCAATGGCAACGATCATGATATGAGAAATGCAGCACTACAAAATCTGAGACTTCTACTTGTTCTAATTTGTTAACTAAGTCTTCCATAATTTGCTACATTCTTTCCAATAAATTGCCAAATTCAAGAACAGTTTCAAACAGGTGATCCAGATGCAGGGCAACCTAACATGGAATTACTTGATCACTGGAATTTTTTTCATTTAAAGCGATGTTATTAGTCCAGCCCAGCCAGACCCCTGCCAGTAGCATAGGAAGTAGAAGGACTTCTCATTACCTGAATTCCAGCTGCCATGGAAATCTTTCTCAGTGCAGAGAATTGAATATAAGCTGCAGACAGAAGAACCACTCTGTGTCCTTACTGAGCTGGGCCAGATAGATATAGACCAGACCCCAGGGTCTATTATACACAGTAGGAGTAAAAGATTAAAAGCAGAGAAAAATATGACTCAGCACATGAGTTAGAAAGAACCGAACCTAGCTTGAAAATCAACATTTTAAATGTCTTTAGATATGAAGTCTGTCACAAATAGGTTGCCTTTACTTTGCAATAGACAACTGTAAAAACAAAGAAGTGTGTGTTTTTTAAAATAAACAAGCAGCTGAACAGTTGCACTTTGGGAGGAAAAGGTAATATTCATATTCATACTCAAACTAATGTTGCAATTCATTTCTAATGTTTTTAATAGTTCCTCCCCTAGCAGATTGAAATTGGCACCTGCAGGAAGACTGGGATGTTCAGAATACAAAATGCTACTTAATAACCCTAGATAACACTAGAATATATAACTCCAGGCAACTCTGGAATGTAAAAATAACCTCCAGTAGAGCTGGCACAATAACACTTGAATTAGAAAGCTGTAAGTCAGAAAGATTTCTGAGAAGATGGCATAAAAATTAAAAGAAGTCTGAAATACTATCAATATACTTCAAAAAAAACCTTGTTTTCAATATGTGAAAGTGTCACACTAATTTTGAAATACATAGCTAATGAATATAAGAAAGTGCTGAGCAGAACCTTGCAAAGCAGTACTTAACTGTCTTTATCAACATTGCTGTGGTGAATGAAAGAAAGATGAACTAATTACCCTGGCAAAGTGTCTGACATGGGTATTTAAATGCACATCCAACAGAAGTTCAAAAAATAAAACCAGCAATGTCAGGCAACCTTCAATTTACAAATAGAGAATGAAAGCTTCAGCGTACAAAGTCCTTAAGGCTGACCTTTAGGAAATCCATTACCTTTCAAGCAAGATGATTCAGCCTCTTGGCAGGGTATCACTGAAAAGGCAGAGATGAGATGACACTGCAGCCCTCTTGGTGGAGCGGTCCTTAGAAGACCATTCCCCTTGCTCAGTTATTTACAGCATCCTTCAGACTGCTCTGGTCTCATTTGGGGCTGCACCAGCCACAGGCAAGAGAGAAGGAAGATGTCTTCGGAACAACTCCTTCCTCCATCACTTACAACACTCACAACACTTAGAACACTCTAAACAATCCGCGGCTCAGGCAGACAGAACCACGGTACGAAATGATCCATCTGTACCTCCCTTAATGACAAAACTGACTAGACTTTTTGATTCGGATATTTTAATCAAAAGACTAATAACTTCTGGATTTCATTTCACTGCATCTGTGCTACGAGGCAGATGCTTGATCTGCTAGGCTGAACAAGCTGCTGCACAGTCGTCTGTAATAAATCAGTGGGAAAAAGTCTCTGGAAGTCTGTTTCAAAACTATATGGAAATACAACAATTTGAAGACTGACAAAGAAGGATGGTACAAGGGCTGAGAGGTACTAAACTATCTGTTCTCTAATACAGGTACATGCAGAATTTAATACAAATCATAATTAGTTTACTGAGGTTACTTTTTTTTTATTTGCTAGTTGATAGTTGGTTGGCAATGATACCTAATTGCTTTTAAAAGTAATAGTTAAATGGCATTGGTTATTTTCTTAATACTCAAGATTTAATAAGCATCCATGAAATCAAGAATGATAAAATAATAAGACAATACACTTTATGTTTCTGCAAGCCCTCATTAGCATGGGGAAAAAAAAAAAAAAAAAAGCAATTTCATTACATTGCATTTTCTATCAACAACTTATTTAGTGACTGACTTCAAAAATCAATCACACAATGAATCATGTTAAGCAAGTAAAGATTCAGGCACATATCAAAAGCATCTCTCTACAAATCCCATGAAAAAAAAAGTACCACTGTTGGGAAAAACAACCAGCCTTTCACTGACTTGAAATCAGACATTTCAGCTCAGATCAACACAGTTGAATTTGCCTAAAAATTCTAGTCAGACTAAAATCTTTTTTATTTCATTTTTTTCTAGGCAGAAAAAGCAAGAAAATTTCAGCAACAATCTATATTTTCTCATAAAACCTAATCTTACAAGAAAGCCTCCCGTAGGAGTATTCCCTCAGGGAATTCTCCTTTATCTTTTCTTCCCACAGTTCCAACTATCCATGCTAGCTGCCTCCATGTGGAAAATGTGCTTCTGTGAAGCAGGGACAGGAGATGGAAAAGTTATCTGTTGATTATACAGCAACACAGTCAAACAGAAACCTTGTGTAGTGAAGTATTCTTTGTCACAGGACTTAGAATTGTACCTTAAAGAGCAGCAATACAAACTGCATCCAGTAAGCTGCTCATGTCCTTGGGCAAGGCGTTTGGTTTCCACCCATTCTAATTCTTCGACTTTGTATTGAAGCTACCTTTGCTTTCCTAAATATGCAGTTATTTCTAGAAAATTCTGTGTGTGTGTGTCTGCATGTTTAACAGAAACACATTGAAATTTTTGGGTAAAATAAAATGTAAGCTATCCTTCTGTTTAAAAGAAAGAAGTTTGAAGATTGTTTTCCCTTTCTCTAGCCAGGATGCCAATGCATAGCAATGTTTGTGGTGAGGATTAAGCCTGCAGGGAATGAGCAGGGGAATGACAATAAAAAAATAAACCCAATCCTGAAGTACTTTTGCTTAGGAAAACCTCTTTATACAACTGGGAATGTGCGAATATACATGACTCGGGGTTTGACTTGTAGCCTCTGGAGTTCACAGGTTACCCTCAAGGTCAGTTTACTTATGAAACACTGAATTAGTATCCTTTCCCACTGTTTCAGCATGGCTTTTGGTACCGATAATGTAATAAATTTACGCGGGAAGTTTTACGCACAGAAAAATCACATTATTCTAATTTCAAATGAGAAAAGCAGGAAAAGAACTTAGGAAAAAAAAAAAAAAGAATGTTTTTACCAGAAAATATTAAGTTA